CTGCAAACAGAAATAAATAAATACTGTACAATCTAAATGTACTAAGAGGGTATAGATAAATAGTTTCATAATGCTTTAATTATAGATTTGTCTACAGTCTTTCTTTATAGCAGCTGCTCAAAACCTGCCAAAATCTATTACTAACATAACTTACCTTTAAGCAAGTCCTCAGTCTGTTTAATGAGCCATTGAACTACCTTATTGCGGTCAGCTTTCCCAGTCTTATCTTTTGAAGACTTGTGTATGTGGTAACTATGATACACAATGAATCCTAGGTCAATGGGAACTGTCACTGCTAACGAGGCCCCAGCCAGGACCACACCCAGTGTACGAGCTCCAGTACGTAAAGCAATAGCTCCTGCCTCAGCAGCTGACTCTATTCCAATAGCAATACCCATACCAACCCGCCCCAGACTAGCAAGACTTTGGGCTCCACCAGCTGCTACGTTTCCCGCCAATTCTCCTCCATCAAGAGCCGACTCAGCACATTTCTTCATGGCTTCACTGTATTTAGCGGCAACGTCATTGATACTAATGCTCAGCTGCTGATCAAGGCTGATGTGCTCTTGGGCCGACTTGAGTCTCTTATTTGATAGAATTTTTGAAGCGATAAAAGCTCCAATTCCTCCTAGTGAGGTAGTAGTTCCAACCACACCCCCAGCAACCGATAGACTGATTGACAAACCAAATGTGAACGGGAGGAGAGCGAGACCAGCGACCATCATACCACCCCCAAGGACTATACTAGCGGAAGAGGCTGCTATCCTGGCTATCCTCTCATGGCGGACGATGGAGAGTACTGCTTCTTTGTTATCTGAGAGGACGCTGATGGTCTTACAGCGAATGGGGTACCACATTGAGCGGTATAACTCCAGCTGCTTCTTGTAGTACTCTTTCTCTGCTCTAGAAATTAAATAAGAAATTTTTAAAAGCATATAATTTAATTAGGAGAAAACAAGCAAATTGCATGTACATGTACATATAGCTACGTGCAAATACAAATGTATATTCAAAATAAGAAACAGAGAGCTCAGCTAACCTTGAGTGGAAAGGTACATAACGTGCTGGTAGGACAAACTTTTCGGTAAAATTATCGATGTACACACAGAAAACCTTGTCGTGTTTCCTGTTGCAATCCTTGTGGATCTCAGAGCAGCACTGCTGTATGCTGGCCTCATGAGTGAGTTTACTGCTAACTGTCTTGAGGACTATACTACTGCTACTCTGATCAACTGAGGTTATGAGTACGATAGAGTTTTTAGGAAGAACTGACGAAAACTGAAGTCTCTCGCTCGGCTCTTTGACGTGAGCTAAATGGAAGTAAAATATCTTTGGTACTAAAGCAAGACGGGAGCGATCGTCACGGAAGTACTCAAAAATATTGTCGGGGTCCATAATTTCATTGTTGCAATCGTAAAGCTGCCTTGTCTTCCCTTTAGAAAGGAGAACGAGAGCGAATGTTGCCAGTTGAGAGGCATTGATGTGGGGAATCATTTCAAGTAAAGTTCTGACAGATTGGGAACTGAGTGCGTTGAAGTAGAGGGTACAGAACCCAAGGTTTTCAAGAGTTTTTATGAACTCCTTAGCATCATCGTTGATTGTTATAGTCCCGTCCTCTTCAACTTTAACTTCACCATGATTATCAACAATGAAGGCCAAATGAATCTCTATAAAATAAATAAATAATTAAAATAAATAAATAAATAGGTGGCACTTACTGTCATTCAAGTTCAGCCTGCTAAAGTTGTGTTTTTTGATTTGCGAGTGAACAGTTTTCACCAAATTATGCAGCCAGTTGTCCCTATCAGGTAACTTCAGTGGGTTGGGATCATAAATATTTGGCTTATAATGGCCAGCTGGTACGAAATGAGCATATTCATCTGTTTCACAATCCTTTTTCAAGAAAGCGTTGATGTCCTTAGATCTCAGCTGCACTCTATGAATAAACCTCCTCCTTATTAACTCCGCCCACGCAGCCTGGTCGGTAAACGGAGGCTCTGGACCGTCTTCATCTCGACTATCTTTCTGTTCGCATCTCTCATTGTTAGCAAAAGTGAGGACGAATACAACTCTCTTCCAGAAGTTAGGGCCAAATGCTTGATGGAGCCTGCGTAGAGCCAACGTGTCATCATAAGCCAGCCTGTGATTGGTCATCTTCATACAGTACAGAACTAAACTGACTTCCTGACACTGAACCTTCATGTCTTCTATGTACAGCTGCTCGTTAACATGGGTATCTTGTAGACCAGGCGAGTCGACGATCCTCACCTTGACATCTGGTAACAGCTCCGGGTGGACGTAAGAGTGGGTTGATTTGGTACACATGTCAGTTTCGGCTCCTTCTTGAGCAATATCTTCTCCTAATTCTATCAAGCTGTTGATCAGGGTTGACTTTCCCTGGCCTGTTTTGCCCACCATTAGGAGGTGAATGTCCGAACGAGTTCCTTCGCTAGCTAGAACCTGTTTCAATGTTGACATGGCACCTTTATCTAAATTAAAATTAAATGATATATTACGGGAATTGTTTTACTAAACCACACCCAATAAATTCATT